AGCAACTAAAATTTTTTATTATTTATTTATTATTTATTATTATTTATATTATTATTTATATATATTATTATTATTATATATATATCGAATGGTTCGGTTTATTGATTAAAGAAAATTTAAGAAGAAGAATAAAATTTCAGAGAAAAGCGGATCACATGCCCTCAAGGGACACACAGATAACTCAACCAAACTCCCTTTGAGCTTCTTACTTACAATGGTCAAGATTAATTCATTTCCTATCCTTCAGCAACAGCAGGAAGGATTCTCGCGGACAATTCATTTCCTTTACTTTTATCCTTCTCATCGTTAACTGTCGGTCATTTCTTTGTAGAAAAATTTTGTTGAAACGACCCCATTAACTTTCTAAGAACAAAGTTCTTTCCGTCAAAGTTCCAAGTGTCGTTCGAACTGTCATTAAATTTATCCGTAAAAATTGTCTTCTTTTCTTCCAACTTTTTCGATCGATTGAAAAGACAAAAAATTTTAACGAAATCAATATGACACACAACTACACACACACATAGGTTACATATTATCATTTTGAAAATTATTTTTGTACAGAATGGTTATCCGGCACGACGTCGTTCATTGGTGGACGATGCTCGTTTCGAAACATTAGTCGTCAAACAGACTAAACAAAGCGTTCTGGAAGAAGCACGTCAACGAGCGAATGGTAAATACAAATTTTCTTACTAATTATTTATTCTTTTATTTAATTATGATTGTGTTCGTTAAATGTATATACCGTGTTTCGATGTTAGTAATTTAAATTAGAATAAAATGTTTGTGTATCGATGTTTTGCATGATATGAGTTTTACGTTTAAAAATTAAACAGACCCAAATGCCGATCCTCAAGATCAAGAAGGACACTCTGAGATTTACGTTGATGGGGAACAAGGAGAAACATTGATTTGTGCGAGCAAGGAAGGAGGTAAATAATTTATTCGATGCGAATATTTGTTAACAAAAAAAAAAAAAAGAAATAATTTGTAGAGCACGTTGGCATGAGCACGATTACGTTTTTAATTTTTAGAAGCTAAAGCTGAAGAAGTCTCCTCGGATAGCGAAGGGAAAACCGACGACGATTATGACGACGGTAAGTTTAACATATTTTCACGAATGTAAAAAATATGTCAATGAAAAAGAAGAAAAATTAGAAACAATTTGAAAAGTTATTTTCTCGAATCAAATTGGCACGAAGTGAGTGTTCGATAAGAGTAATGTTAAAATTGAAGTAATAGTAATAGTAATAGTAGTAGTAGTAGTAGTAGAGTGTGATAGTAGTGTTAAGATTGAAAGAAAAATATTATAACGATGGTAAGTTTAACATATTTTCACGAATGTAATAAATATGAATGAAAAAGAACAACAATTAGAAACAATTTGAAAAGTAATTTTCTCGAATCAAATTGGCACGAAGTGAGTGTTCGATAAGAATAATGTTAAGATTGAAGTAATAGTAACAGTAGTAGTAGTAGAGTGTGATAGTAGTGTTAAGATTGAAAGAAGAATAGAAAAGAGGAGTATGTTGGTGGGTGAAATGGAGGGTGAAACGCGAGGGTCATTGTCGAGGGTATTTACCGGACCAAAGTGAATCGAGTTAAGTGCTTCTGGCACGACACTCACTTGCGTGTGAATTACTTTGAACGTGCCACTCTATCCAAGTTCCTTCGTGCATTTAGAATCGTATTACCGTTCAAAGAAAGAGAAATAAAAGTAAAAAAGTACAAAAGTGAGAGAAATTCTTTTATAGAAATTCTTTCCTTATTTTTTCCTTCTTCTTCTTCTTCTTCTTTTCGTATATAAGATGTTGATGATGTTCTTACGAAAAGTAACTCTCAACGCGTTCGAGAATGACTAGAAAAAGTATAATACGGTTTATTTCTTCCATCTCGTATTTTTTCATCTTTGTTAGCGAAGTCGGGCACGTCCAAGCCCGACAACGAGAACCACTTTACTTCTTTTCCAACCACTCATTCCCACCCCCTGTCCCGCCCCGTCGTTGTCGTCGTCAGTAGCACCCACTACCACCAAGACTACTGCAACTGACGACAGAGTACTATGACGGAAATGGACTACGAATCACGCGATTATTATATCTTGCCGCTTTGTCACTTGATGGTGTTGAGAATGCTGATTAAAGGGAGAAAGGAAAGAGAAATTTTGTATTATTAAACTTCGTCGAATATCCTTTAACGAATAGGAAATGTTATAGTTGAATATTTTTTTATAATAGATTTGAGACAAAAAAATTACTCTTATACTTTTATTCTCTTTCTATGAATATTATCGATGATATAATATAAATTAAAAAAAAAAAAGAAAATGTTTAATATTGAAACAAAGATGAAATTAGATTGAACATTGTTTTTAACCAATTATTTTTCTCGTCCAAAAATAAAATTCTTAATGAGAAGGTATCACAGGGAACTTGGACATTAAAAAGAAGTAGAACTTAATTTAAACTAAGTTGGACGTTTCATCCCTTTATTGGGACTTCTTCAGCAACTTAATCTTTATAGTTCAGCGTCCTTTTTTCATTGATCAGACATACATTTTTATTTTTATTTTTAATATTCAAAACACAAAACATTTAAACTTCGTTAAGTATTAGCTCGTTATTATTTGAAACACTCAAGAAAACTTGTTTTTAACAGATGTTGGATTAACGGAGGAAGAAGTTGTATTGGCAAAAGCGATTGCTGAAAGTCCGGAAAGCGAAAACATCGTTCAAAAGGCTGCAATCGTGTTACGTTTGCGCGAGGGTATAAGTTCTTTAGCAAGAATCTTAAAGACCGTTGAAAATTTCAAGGGTACGGTCACTCACGTTGAATCGAGACCTTCGAAAAAGGAAGGTCTTCAGTTCGATGTACTGGTGAAGGTCGATATAACGAAACAATGTTTATTGCAATTGATTCGAAATCTCCGACAAAGTTCATCGTTGGACGGGGTTACATTGCTCACGGACAATTCTGTCAGCGTCAAGGATCCATGGTTCCCTCGTCACGCATCAGATTTAGACAATTGCAATCATTTAATGACGAAATACGAACCGGATCTCGATATGAACCATCCTGGATTTGCGGATAAGGAATATCGTGCTCGTAGAAAGGTCATCGCTGAGATAGCATTCGCTTATAAGTATGGTGATCCAATTCCAAGCATCCCATACACCGAAGTTGAAAACGACACGTGGTCTCGCGTTTTCAATACCGTTGTTGATCTAGTACCTAAACACGCTTGCTTAGAATATCAAAGAGTTTTCAAAAAACTCCAAGAAGAAAAGATCTTTGAGTGTCATCGTATACCCCAATTACAAGAAGTCAGCAATTTTCTTCAAAAAAATACAGGATTTACATTAAGACCTGCAGCTGGATTACTCACCGCAAGGGATTTCCTATCGAGTCTTGCTTTCAGAGTATTCCAAAGCACGCAATACGTTCGCCATATCAACAGCCCTTATCACACGCCTGAACCGTGAGTATAATTTCTTTTTATTTAATAATAAGTACGATCAGAAGAGAGACGATTCTAAATAAGATTATCGAGTTATTAATATTATATATTTCGATAAAAGTTATTATTATTAACACCGGGGTAGTTTAAATCGATATATGTATGTATTATGAGAGAAAGATAAAGTGAGAGGGACGAGCACAGTGGGAAAGGGACGGAGTACGTAACTTAATTACTATGCTTCTCTAAGCTCGTAATGGAACTTTAATTGGCTTTTAGCGACACGATGTCGTTGATAACTCACTTGTGCACAATTCCGAACTCTCTTTCATCGTTCGTCCCTTGATTTTGAGATGCTTGTTATACTTGTACCTTCTATCCTCGTTCCAACGCAAACGAAACGAATGAATGAACGAACCTTTCAAGATAAATAGATAAATCGAAATAAAGAAAAATGATATTTGACCTAATATCAAAATTAATAGATCATTATTTTGACATATCAACAGGGATTGCATTCACGAATTATTGGGACACATGCCCCTTCTCGCTGATCCAAGTTTCGCACAATTTTCCCAAGAAATTGGTTTGGCCTCACTCGGCGCATCCGACGAAGAAATCGAAAAACTTTCGACCATTTATTGGTTCACCGTTGAATTTGGATTATGTATGGAGAGTGGAGAGGTGAAAGCTTATGGTGCTGGTCTCTTATCCGCTTATGGTGAATTGCTTCATGCTCTGAGCGACAAGTGCGAGCACCGACCTTTCGAACCAACTACCACGGCTGTACAAAAATATCAAGATCAAGAATATCAACCGATTTATTTCGTTGCTGAAAGTTTCGAGGATGCTAAAGACAAATTCCGTCGTTGGGTAAGTTTTTTCTTTTTCTTTTTTTTTAATTCTTTTGGTAGCGTTACGATGAGATTTAACGAATGAGATTTTTTTCTTTGAAAATGATTCATTTTTTAACGATCCAATCGATCAACGAATCGCAACAACAACGATACCACTTATTATTATTATTATTATTAAAATGAAACTTTGTTAAAAAGCCGGAAAGAAAAACAGCATTCCGTTTGAATGTTCCAGGTGGCAGCCATGAGTAGACCATTCGAGGTCAGGTTTAATCCGCACACGCAACGCGTCGAAGTACTCGACACGGTCGACAGGTTGGAGGGAGTTCTTTCTCAACTTAATACAGATATAACTCATCTTACCAACGCCATTAACAAAATTAAACGCAACTTTGCCGCGTAAATTAATGAAAAATAATAGTAACATTTGAAAACAACAGATTTAATGAAACCGATTACTCTTATCTTGCTTGCTCAGATTCGTCGTAGTTATCTAGCGTTTATTGTGTGATCAATCTTTTATTTTAAATCTTTAATCCTATTAGTATATATTGAACGAAAAAAAAAACAACAACAATATCTCATTATCAACGTAGACGTTGTTAGACCGACAAATTTTTGTCGAGAGAAAATTGTGTTCTTATAATCTTTCGTTTTTTTATTTTTTAATTTCTGATTTATCAACCCATCGATTGATGTCTTTCATTTTAATTTTGTTGAAAAATGATTATTTTAATATTTACATATAAGATAGATACGAGTAACGTTCCGAGGGATCAAAAGCTGCCAAGTTTTCGGTAATTAATCAGAATCGGTTTATTTTATTTTTTTTTTTTCTAATTCGGATTGAAAGAGAGAGAGAGAGAAAGAGAGAGAAAGATAGAGACAGAACAATCACGACAAGGTCTAAAAACCAAAATTTGGACTTTCTTTAATTTAGTTCCTTAAGTTAAATCCCGCCGTGCTTCTTAAGTATCTTCATTCATTACTTTTAAAGATCCTTTTTATTCTTATGAATGAGATTGAAACTATTTTAACTCGCGTCCTAGATTTTTCTCCCATTGTATTATTAATGTTTTTTTTTCCCCCCCCCTTATTTTTTTTTTCTTCCATCATTCTCTCATCCATTCAACTCGCATAAGTAGAAGCTTTATCCTCATCCCATGTATAAAGTCAAATAATTTCGATTCATCGTAGGAATCATAGACGCGTAACGCGTGAAAAATGAAAATTCATTGAAAAAAGAAGCTAAAGAATAAAAACAAAAAAAAAGGAAAAAAAAAAACACACACGGAAAAAAAAAAACATAAGAAAAAAGAAAAAAAAAGAGAAAAAAAAAAGAAGAAAAAGATAAAACATGAAGTATTAATAAAGTAGGAAAAAAAAAAAAAAAATAGAAAGAAAATGAATTGGGACACTAATGTCCTTATAATACGGATACCAAGAACGAAAGTGAGTGTGAATAGTAGTTAAGTTACGTGCGGAACGAAGGTCGTACCTATGCCAATCTAATTTTCCACGTCATTGGTAAAAGTTGCGATCAAGCAAGACCTCCCGTTTTCATTGGCGTGATATCACCGTTGATCGTTAGGAATATCACGTTTAATCGGTCTTTGTTCGAATTACATACAACCGTGAAAAAAGATCCGTACTACGAGAGCGCTTTGACGAATTTTTTTTTTAAGCAAAAAAATTAAAAAAAAAAAAAAAAAGAAAAAAAACACCAAGATTAACAACAACAAATCAACGAATCTATTTTAATTCGCACAATATTAACACGCGCGTATCTTAATTTCCGTTCATCATATACTTTGAAATATTCTTATCACGTTTGATTGTATACACACCTTTGTATTACTATTATTATATTGTACAATATATTGTATTTGTTATAATATTAGAAATAATTCTCTTCCTTTGTTTTCTATATATTATCAATGATTATTACAATTTTGTAAATGTTTTTTTTTAATATCTTCTAATTAAACTTCGCTATACTTTCGTATTGTATAAATGTGTAAATGTAGTTATAGTATTGTATTAAATACAATGAAAAATCCATTCGCGTTGATTAATGTGAAAATATTATTAATTTTTCTTAAATATGATATATATATATATATATATATATTTTCCGTTTTTTAATATTATTTTCATGATGTTTTATATCACGATTATATTATGAGAAAAAAAATAAGAAAACAAAGGAAGAAAGAAAAGTAAGCTTTCGATCCACCGATATTGAATTAATCGACGTTACATTAGAATAAAATAATCTAGCACAGAACCCCTATATATAGAGTGTAGTTAGTTAATTAGTTAATTAATTAGATAGTAGCGTGTATCTTTTGCTTATTGTTAGCGTACCCTGCACACACACATCGACCAACAACCACTATTTTTCTTTTTATGTTCTTACTAACTCGTACCAAATACCTCCTCGTATCTATGTATACTTACGTGTATTATGTACTTGTTAAAAAAAAAAAAACTTTTAGCTAATGGTCGAACTATCTAAAACATTTTATTTGTATTATACTGTAAAGTACTTGAAGCATAATAAAAATATAAGATATATGTATCTTACGCTTAGCCCGTTCAAAAAATTATGATCGTATATTATTATTTTCATTGGGGATAGGGGGGGGGGAAAGAAAAGGAAAAAAAGAAAAAAGCATTAGTATCTCAATAAAACTGTTTTCAATTGAATTACGATTACGATGATAATTATCTAGCTACTGTGTTGCGTATGAGATAAATTAAAAGATAAATAATGCTTTTCTTTTTTTTTTTTTTGTATCGAATCTATGACGTAGTTGTATTTATCGATCAATCGAAATCAAAGATAATCGTATCGAAGGTAAAAATATGAACGAAACCGTCAGATCAACAATTTGTTCATTTAATCTACACGTTTGTTTTTCCACGAGCACGATGATGTGGTTTGGAAAGAAACGCGGTGCTTTACTACCACGTTAATGGATAAATAAAAAAAAAAAGGGGATAGATAGAAGGAGAGAAATAGAAATAGAGAAATATAAGAAAATATTAAGAAAATAACTGAGACAGACAGACGTCAACGATTATGACGAAACTTTTACCTTTCGTTTTCGGCACGGTAACATTGGAATGCGCCGACGCGAAAATCTGGAATGTGGACGACGGTGACAGTTAGTGAAAGTAACGAAGAACATCAATTCCTACTTCCTCATTTTTTACATTACAGATCATTCTAATGATACTTTTCGTATCTTCCTTTGGATCGGTCGTATTAAACGTCTTTCCTTGATTGCATTCATGATTCTCAGCGTTTTACTTTATTATATACCAGAATCTCGTTCTCGTGAGTAACTAAAAATAAATAAATAAAAAAAGAGAGAAATCGATGATAAAAATAAAACAAAACGAATGATAATTATAATAGGCAAAGAAAAAAGAAAAGAAAATTTAATTTATTGATCAGAATATAACGCACAAATGTTCATACAAATATAAATATATATATTCTTGTTAGATGTAAGAAAAGCTTGCTGTTTCTTGATCGATCTCATTGCCGATGGATTAAAATTTACCCTACGTGCTACCGAAAGTGATTACGGGAAAAAAATGAAATTTAAAAGACGTACATTATTAAACAATCATTCGAGAAGACGCAACGCTGAGAAAAATAAAACGAACGAAAGATTGTCTAAGTGAATTATTGAACGTTTTAATGCGTTTGATTTAGAATTCATTTATTAATAATAATGATAATTGATAAAATATGTACAGGATATATTATATTTCAGGTGTCAAGATAATATGGTAACACGTTCGAGAGGTTATATTCGTGGTCTTGAAGGAAAATATTTAAATCATCGTCGGAATAATCGACGTTATCGTGAAATGATTGCAAACGATGTTACGTTGAAAACTTGTCTCGAGTTAGCACCCTTTTTACAAAATCAATATCAACAAAAACGTGACATGTATTCTGTTCGTTTAAAAAATGAAAATGATGATCAAATGATGATCGATCGTACGTTTAATCATCGAAATGATATTCCTTACTCGAAAGAAAAATTTATCGTTGGATACGTGGAAGATTGTGAACCGAATAATTCGGTTAATATTTTTATTTTACTCTCTATTCATATTGCAAAGATTATTTTTTGAAAGATTAACGTTTATAAGAACGTGTGTGATTATTTAACATATTTTTTGTTTTGTTTTCTATTACAGAATTTATCGTTAAATTATTACGAATCATCGAATGACAGGTAAATGAATATAATTAACGAACAAATATATATATATTATTTATGGAATTCTTAAACCCCAATGATCAACATTATTGTTTTAGGTTCGATCGTTCAAACGTTCCCGAGGTATCGTCCTATCAGGAAGAAATAGTTGGTGACAATCAATTTTTCACGAATAAAAATGAAAGATCTATGGAAGATTTGAAAGGAGATACCACCATTCGTAAAAGAAAAATCTTAGGAATACGACAAATGCACGGTGATACGATACCAGAAATATCCTACAACGAAAGTTCCTATACGAGTTTAGAAGCGGAAGCGGATGACGAGAATTCGCAATGTGGAAATGAAATAGAAAAGGGAATGAAATTTTCTAAAAAAAGAAACATCGAGGAAACGACGACGATGAGTAGTACGTCGATGGGAGGATATCATAGCTCGTCTTCCAGTGAAATTTTATTTCCTACGAGAATACGACGCAATAGACGAACATTCCTATAAGATTAATAACTTTTCTTTTCTTTTCTTCAATCATTTTTTCCTTTTTTTTATTTTCTTTTTTAATGTATGAACAATCTACAACAATAATTATTCTTCTTATCTTTTAATAAAAAACCATTTGTAATGAATTAACACATTTTACGTCAATTAATAATTATCAATAATATTAAATAATGAAATTAAACAAATTCATCTCTCAAGTATGCATATTTTCAATTGGCTAAAAATCTTACAATAATTTAGAACCTCTGTACGTACAATGTGTTAAAATATAAAAAGGAATGAGAATATACAAGGTGAACGTTAAACGTGGCTCTAACGAACGATACAATGTTATTTTTCATTTCGATTGATATACTTTTATAATACGTAAATGACGATTGTCTTGAATAAAATTAATTGAATCAAGTAAAATAATTATATTTTGAAAGAAACAAAAAGGAATAAAAAAAAAAGAATGAAGATTAACGAATCGGATTGTCGATTGTTCAGATCCCTCGGGAAACTCATTATCGTGTGCACTAAAGTGGATTTTTGGAGGATGTCCTGGAACATGTCAACATATTTCAAAATCGGAGAAGGAAGAACAAGAAATAGGAGAAAGGGGTGGAAGAAAAATAGTCGGAAAGGAAGAAATTGATGAAAAATTGAACGATATCATGAACGAGTGGCTCTGCTTCGAGCAAGAAACGTGAAGCTGAACGAATTGCTGCCGATAAACGTGGAATCTTTCTTTACCAACGAACACACAGGCGCGAGAAATATAAAACTGTTACTTACAAAAATATATAAACTTTCGAATAAATTCATTTTTTCTTAGAATCAACAAATTTTTTATATCAAATATATATTTGTCACACTTTTGTTATATCTACAAATACTTCGTTATTACGATTATAAATCGACGTTAAGTAAAAAATAACAATGCATCTTAAAAACTATAAACAATTTTATTAATTGAAAACTAATTCGTAATCACATATCATTGAAATTATCGATTAGAAAGTATCCGCAAACATTTTGTCAAGTTTTTTAAACAAGATTTCATTCATGTATTATGAAACAGTATCTAAATCAAACATCGATTTTAATAATCGCATCATAGAATAATTCTGATTGTCAAATATAAAGTTTCGAAAAGAAATATCCTGATAATGATTTATTTGAAAAAAAATTCACATGTAAATTGAATAGAAAAATATTGACGCGAGATATTGAAAAAAGTTTCATTCGTTGACAGTTTTGAATTGTTGAGAGGGTTGTGATTCTATTACTCGCGTGTTCTCTTTCTCTCTCTCTCTCTCTTATTCTCTCTTTATGTCTGTCTCTCTTGAGTTACCGGAAGTGAGCTATCGCGTGGCTAGTATTCGTGGCTTAAGAGCAATAAAGGACGTCGGTCTGTCGAGCAACGAGCGAACGAAGAGAGAAAACGGGCCGAGACAGTCGTGCGGAGGCCAAGAACCGCGTCGGATCGTGAACACCGTCCTCGTGGAATTGTCAGGAAACACGTGACACCCTACTGAATCTCGCGACCAAATTCAAACGATTCGTGAAAGAGATTTAGATCAATAAAGAGAGAGAGAAAGAGAAAGAGAGAGAGAGATCTACTTTCGCTGATCGAAACATTGCACGTGCGTTCTTAAACGATATTCCTACGAAAGATGTACTTTATCTTCTTCATTCTAATCACTATTCTATATTTGCGTCAACATTTATTGTGAACAACGATTAATCTTATTCTAAGCTTACAAAGAGAAATATATATAGAGATAGATATAGAGAGAGAGAGAAAATTTCATTGAATATTATAATAATTAAACGCGTGACACAGGATCGAGAGTAAAGGATAATACAAAGTGTACAAGGTAAGTTTAAATTAAAATGATGAAATTTTAAAAGAAATATATTAGAATGATAGATAATAATATATTATATGCATTTATAACGATCGATACAAATTTTTCTATATATGTATATGTATGTATGTCATCGATTTAGAGATCTTTGATGAGATCGTAATGGGAATCATTTGAAATTGAGTTTATCGGCACTGATCTATCTCGGATCTATCTGAAATCAAGTGAAAAGTCGTTGTTCCAAATATTAAGAGATTTTCGGCGCATGAATCACGGAATCGACTACCGTGCGATACTAAATTTCCTTAGATCCGTTGGCCCATTGCCAAGATCGCGCGAGTTCTTGCTTCGGGCCCCGAAGAATGGGAACGTGCGATATAATCTCTAAGAAAGAGAAAACCCGAGACTATTACTATTGCTCGCGTGAACTTAACTTTTCCCGCGGAATCACGGAAAATCTACTTTACTACACTCGAGAACATAAAAGCTATAATGGAAGGAAGATTTTCAAAATAGATAACCATGGTTCTTATATATCTTACGGTAAGATCCTATCGTTATGGTTGTAATGGATTGCTGTGTACATACACACGCATAAAAAAAAAAAACAAGAAAATATAAGAATTCCAATAAGCGGATCATCATTTTCTTCGAATTTTATTTTGTCCTTTTTTTAAAATGATATTCTTCATAATTTGTGTCTCATTTTATATACAATTATTATTTTATATTATATCATATATGAGATCTCAATATTTATGTTCAATGCATTTTAGTTTATCATACCTTTTTACTAATATATACGTATATCTGATCTATTATTTTGTTTTTCCTTTCTATTTTTTATTTGTTTTCAACTTGATAACTCTTTATAATATTATTTTGTAGATATAATCAATGAACATTACAATAATATATCTCGTTCCTATTAAACATCTATATACTTATCATTAAAAACAAATATATATATATAATTAATATAATATATTCATTTCATAACTTTTAAAAATTATTTATTATCATTCTCATTAAACACCCTTTTTTTTCTATTGTCTTAGACTTTATGATTTGACAATCTAATATGAAACATAGAAGAGAATCAGAGTCCTTTATAAATTTCCGGGGAATGATATTCTCGTGAGACATCGCATTGTTGAACGACCAAACGAATTCTCAAGATTCCTCGAGACATGTGCGAAGCGTTCTATTAATGTAACGCATCGAATCTCTCATACTCTCTCTTTCTCTCTCTCTCTCTTATTTTTTCCAATTGCTTTCCCCTACATCAGCCCCTTTTCTTCCTTCTTCCCCTCCTCCTCTTCTTCTTCTCTTACTTTTCTTCTTCTTCTTATTCTTCTTATTCTTATTCTTCTTTTCCTTCTTCTTGTTCTCCTTCGTTTTACCCTACGTCGTTAAAATGGCCGGCAGAGCGTCGCCCTGAGAGTACAAAATTGCTGTGTTTAAGCCCATCCCGTGTATAAGAAAGAGAAGTAAAGAGAAATGAAAAGAGAAATAGAAATAATATAATAAGGAAAATGCGTTCGCGTGATTCTCTTCTCTTGAGTTTCCTTCCGTTTTGATTTAGAATAAGAAAAGCATGAGAAAGAGAGAGAGAGAGAGAGAGATAGACACGAAACATCTTGTAAATGGGTCGAAATACAGAATACCAAGAGAAGGACAAGATGATAGTCTCTTAAATGGGATCTAGCACATCGTATGAAATGTCATCGATACGATCTTCCTCTTCTTATTCTTCATTCATTCTATTTCTCTCTTTCTCTCTCTCTCTCTTATTCTCATCCTCATTTTCATTCTCGTTCTTGTTCGAAGATACGAACTAAACGTCGATAAAACGAATTCGATTCCCGTATATACAAACGTGACGATAAAATCAATACAAATTTCATTTACTAACTACAATACTATTTTTACTTTAATTTCCATCTAAATTGTTTTATATATACTCTAGTCAAACATAATAATCGTAAAAATCGTTCCGCAAATTTGAAAAAAAAAAAAAAAAACAAAAGATTTCACTCGAAATCGGATAAAATATTACGTTTAAGCAATTACAAATACAAATATTATTTTCTATTGAAAATATGAATAATATTGTTTGATAATACACGTTTATTTTCTATGTTAATTAATTAATGACCACTCAAATTTATATTAAAATGAACATTATTATTTAATTGAGATATATCAAAAAGCTTCCCGTACATTTTACCATGTTTATCCATCGCCATACGTTTGTTTTTGTTTCTTTTTTTTTGTCCGCAGTGACGAGTGCACGGAGCATGACGTCAAATGCAATTAGGGGTATTCGAAGGAAAAAGAGTTCGCTGTGCGAAGTAAAGGTGGCCGTTATCGGAGCGCCAGGGGTTGGAAAAAGTGGTGAGTAGGAAAACTAATTTTGTTTGTAATAATTAAATAAAACGACGATAGCGTACAAACGTGTGCATATGCGTACTCTTTCGTAATATCAAAAATACAGTACACACACACACAAATGCGTTTACATATACATACAAAAAAAGAGAAAGAGAGAAAGCGAGACTATTAATTAACCGATAAACGTTGGAAACGTGGTTTTTAAACGATTCATCGTACATTGTTTTAATTTTCTATATAAGTAAAATCTAAAATGAAATGAGATAAATGAGATGAAGCTTTCTATAACGATGAAAACTATGACGATACGGTCGTTTAAGAATTTGGCGCGATACGGAAGACCTTGGACTAATAGCGGAAAACATGTTGAGTTGAAGGATGTCTGAGTTTTCTAACTAAATTAATTATTATCAGTTTGTCTAACTAGAGTGTACAAAAAATATTGCAATATATAAACGAGGAAGTAGAAAATTCTAAAAATATTTTTCTCTTTGGTCAGCAAATATTGATCGTTTTTAAGAGGATTCGTGAACATGTGAGATATATATCTAAGGTTTTGAACTCGATCGTAATTTTCTCTCTTTTGAACGCGAGAGAGAGAGAGAGAGGGAAATAGGAAAGAGGATGAGAAGATTCAAGTGCAAGTGCGACGAAAACCCTTGCTAACATAAGACGACGTTAGCTAGAACGAGAGAAGCATGCCGTGATAGCTTTGAGGACCCTGAGAGCAGCCAACCCGAGTGTATTTTCGGTAATGGCACGTGCTAAAGACAGGTAGGCGAGTAAATAATCGTTCGCCTCAACCGTTACTTCTTCTTCTACTCGTATCGTTGCCATTTCTTCTATTTATAATGTGTTATTTCCGAATCCGAACGAATTTTATAAAAGATTTGTCAAATAATTGAACAAAATCTTTGTTAATAGTGTAAACGTTTACAATAATATTATGCAACGATTAACAGGAATATTTGACAATTTTCGTTATTCAATTTAAAACAATCGATATTTTCTTACAATATACAATATCTTTTTTTCATTTTCATACGCAGAAATATTATATATTATATTTTAAGATTATTAAACTCTTTTTGAGATTGATATGAATTTTATTACAAAAAAAAAAACCCCATTTTATTATAAGGGAAATAGTAAAATTTGATATAAGTGATAAGATAATTGGTCTTGCATATTTCTTTGACAATATAAAGTGTTTTTTTGTTTTGTTTTTTTTGTAATAAAATTAATATCTTTCCTCATTTATACATGAATTTCTTGTTATAGTAATGTATGTGTATGTGTGTCTATTGAGTGAGGTCAGTGTACTTTACGTTTTACATGCATACAACGATGAACGATGAAAACTCATTTATTATGAAATAGATCAAACGTAGTCTATCGTCTGCGTTCTCTTTACGAATTCTCTTATTAATGGAGAAACCTTGGAAATCAACCTCGATCGATTTTGAGTTATCGTTTAAAATGTTGTATTTCGTATAAAACTAAAGTCCTGAACTTATATGTTCTTTCCTTAACAGAAATCTTACGATATTTGAACTCTTACAAATCTTTATCTTCAAAGTAGATGTACGTTCTTGTGGCAAATGCGAGCTTTGAAAAATTCAATCAATTAGTAATAAATGTCTTTCGTTCTTTTTTACCTCCCCTCGTCCGATTATTAATCTCTTAAAATTTTTATTTTATTTCATTTTTTTCAACATATTATATGGATTATTTTCTGTTTCCATTGAAAATGATTACATCTAACACATTCCCCCTGTCCATGTGTAATACGAATTGAAATTTATTTTCTACGATAAATATATAATATTGTTCTTATTAAAACAGATATAAAAAGGTGAACAATGATAGTTGATATTACTTTTATATAATTTATAATAACGTTTGAAAGATTTTGTTAAATATCGGTAATCAACTTATAATTATGTTTAGAAATAATAGTAAAAAATTTGAAAAATGTTTAATCTTAAAGGGTTACTTCGAATAGGATAGTATAAATCTCAGATAATAATTCGATGGAATGGGTTAAAGGAATGAATCTGTTGATACTGGCGAATTGCGAAGCTGTCACCTGATCTGATTCCAGATGAAAAGGCGCCGCACCGTTTCGATGTTAACGTAACGCTCGTGCAAGGTTTTGTGGCGCCGCAGCAGGTTCGAGTTCGAGGTAAAAATAGTGTGGTATACCTCGAAGCGGGTCACTAGGTCTCTCTGCTTCTTCTTTCTCCTCAAGCTTGAGATATCAAGATAAACGAAGAGCAAACGCACGAGACACGTTCATTGAAATTAAACAAATATCGAATAAATTATCATTCAAACATACACACACGCATCGAATAAAAAAATCTGTAATGTAAATTAATTGACAAAAAGAAAAAAAAGAAATTACATTAAATAATACAATAATACAATACGATAAATCGAATTATCGAAAGGATTGTTCTTTATCGTGTTAATTTATCTTCTAGATTTTCATTTTAATACACATACCCAATGTTAAAGTTTTTGATTATTAAATTTTGATATTTTACAATAACAATTGGATAAATTTATGATTGATTTTCAAAAGATATATCGATACAACATTATTATTCATCTAAAATAAAAATAAAATAATGCAAAAGATATGAGTGAAGTTAAGTAAGTACTAGGAGTCCGTCGATGCTTTTAAAAGCTTCCAACTCGAAAAGCGTCAGGTGGAACTCGTCGTTCATACTCATCCTATTTCTCGAGAGAGGAAGAAAAAGAGGAAATATGTCTTAGTTGACACACGTAACGAACTCGTTTGCCACGGAAAAGGTTACGTTATATCAGCCGTCGTTTATATATATATAGAGTATATGCATTTTGTATAAATACGCGTATCATCGTTGAAACGCAAAAGCGAACTTGCAATAGAAAAAAATGCAGCATTGTGTTACGCGTCTATCGACATTGTATACATTGGTTGCATACACACACACATAGATATACATAAAATATACACTCGACCATGTAATTCAATCATAAAAATATCGATTCGAGTCATTCTTCGTTTTATTTTGATTTCATTTTCTTAACATTTTGCACGTTACTCGTCATTCATATATCAAATAATTTTACAATATTCCTTCGAATATCCTCTTAAAACACAATTTATGATGTTTGTAGAATTTTTCATTAAACAACGGTATTCGTAAACTAAATCATTATATAGTGTCTAAGAAAAAAAAAAAAAAAGAAAAAAAGAAAAAGAAAAAGAAAAAAGATCCACTTAATAGTAGAAATTTGACGATGATCCAATATCACTGTTAACGCTAAGAAAGCCATCTGCCAAATGAGAAACAAACGTTAGACGGAAATGTTCGTTTTCATATCGTCTATGACATTGAAAAACAGGCCAAACCGCACGTATAAATTCGTTTTCGATTTTCTTTACTGTAAACATCGATCCTGACCATACGTTTTCATTATATTTTACAGCGTTGACAGTGAGGTTTTTAACGAGGCGGTATATCGGAGAATACGATCATCAATCTGGTAAGAATGTTTTCTATCAAATTTCATATTATTTTTTATCATTTTTTTTCTTTTTTATACACAATATTATTACAATAAAATTAAGCATTGATTTTCTAAGTGACAATAGAATGGACTATTTTCTGAAGTATTGCCAACGGCTGTAACTGTTTCTAAGACCGCGACTCTATCTCTATCTCTCTCTCTCTCTCTCTCTCTCTTTTTCTCTTTCTCTCTCTTTCTATCCCTCTTTACATTCCACCGACCGCGTCTGGTCTAAATTTATCAAAGACGAATTTGACACTAGACAGGACGGGTACTAATGCGAGGTTGATACTCGAAGGAAGAACATTTTTCCTTTTCTACAAATACGTGGACACTGGACAAAGTACTTACTTGCATCAGTAGGAACTATTTCGTCACATTAATTTAGAAAATAAGTTATCCGTTCTCTGTAATACAGTTCAACTAAAAATTCTAGTCATCGCGTACAAACGAACAAATTTTCATTATCTTATGTTTTCTCTTTTTTTTCTTTACAGAAAACAGATACAAACACGAAGTGCTCGTGGATGGGGAACCAATACTTTTCGAAATTTTGGACTCCTGTCCGAAGGTAATTTTTCTTTTTCTTTTCTTTTATTTAGACTCAATATTATATCACGTATTTCGTACCATTGATAAATTTAGTTTAATATTTGTGAAAGTGTTTATAATACGTAATCGTAGAAATGTTAAGATTAAACACGTATATACATTTACATATATTTAAACGAGGTACCGATTTTACAGAGCGACGACGAAATGCCGTCGATGGAAACTTTGCAGTGGGCGGACGGTTTGCTCTTAGTTTATTCGATAACTGATCGAGGTTCTTTCAATTTCGTGAGAAAAGCAAAAGAAGCATTAGCTGTAGCCGATCCAGAAGCTGCCATGCCACTCGCTATGGTTGGAAACAAAGCTGATATGGTTCATCTAAGACAGGTCAGCGCGGAAGAGGGGGAAATTTTGGCTAAAGATTTTGAATGTTGGTTCAGCGAAGTTAGCGCAGCAGAACAGGTATATTTTTATTTCGAATCGATTAAATTTATCAATTTTTGTTGATGATCAATCGATAATTTAAATTATACAGGTCGTCCAAGTAGCCGAATCGTTTCACGAATTGTGTCGTGAAGTTCTTGCTGCCAGAAGAAGAAACAAACAATCGTTGCTCGACAGAATGCTTGGTAGCAAAGCTACGAGAACATATTCCAGGGGTAAAAGCGACTCCGCTTTACCCAAGGATTAATTAATTAATTATCTTGACTTAATTAATAGGATAGGATTTTTTATTGACTGCGCAGAATTGAGTAAGAGAGAGAGAGAGAGAGAGAGAAAGGGAGAAAGTGTGAAAAAGACTACAAGAGATGAAAGTAGACTCGTTTTATACGAGTCGATAAGAAAATCAGGCGCCAAAGATTGTATCATACTGTTAATATTTTATATCAAATAACATGTACAGCTCTACCGTACGCTAATTTTAATAGCGTGCTTTTGTAAAGAAAGTTATCTTTTTTCAATGAATAACAAATTTCTATATTCGCGTTTTACTTCTTAACACTTTGACGGTCGTATTTTTTTTATCGATAAATTGTTTACGCAGTGCCAGCTTTTTATTTTTTTCGTTCAAAATCTACTCTGGAACATACGTTTTTTATAAAAGGTTGTATATTTTTGTATAGCTCGTAAATCTATCGAAAGTGTAAGTAGTGGTATGTACTAAAAACATCGACGTCCTAAAGTAAATTATTGGTACATTATTATAAACAAGAAAAAACGCTATCAGTGTTAATAAATTGACGATTTTATAAATCATTGATTAGGCTTCAAAAGGCTGATCTTATATAAGCGCAAACATATATACAAGAAATTGTTGGTAAGAGTTACAGATTCTAACGATTGACCTATATATTTATTTTGTACTTACAATAAGAAAATGTGAAATAAATATTTTACTTATTTATTATAGCAGCGAAGCGATATGTTAATCTTATCCTATTAGATTTATGATCCATAATCTCTTATACGATATTATCATTTTTACAATTATATTATATTTACAGATAATACGAATTTGAATATTCGTTATTTATTTAGTGTCATCGTAAATTTCTAAAACATCTGCTAAATGTTCATTGTCTCTCGGCTTTTTAAATTGTTTTCTCCTATTATTTGGTTTCTTTCTTTTAACAGGTGCTAATTTTTTCGGACCATGATCTTGCATAGATCTAATCCCTTGTTTCTCTAAATACTCATCTATTTTTTGATCATCCATTGCATCTACTGCTACAGCTCTCCATAATTTTTGAAATTCCTCATCGATAGGAAACTGCGCTGTCTTGTCGTTATAGAAAACTATCTTCTTTTTGTCAAGTGGTCGCGTTATGAGTAATATCTCATTTTGTAAGCTCTATAAAAAAAAATCTCACAGAACATATCGTAGATTATTAATTAAAATATATGCAACTAACCGTACCTTTAGATGCTTTTCGCAGTGCGGTAAACTTTCTTGTATGTCTTCTAATAAAATCCCACCTAATCCCTTTAAATCCTGTTGTTTTAAAAGTCTCAACAAAGATTTTTTATCTTTAATTTTGTACATAGCCTTAAATGCAAATCTACCATCCTGTGTCACATCTATTTTAGGATTTTTTAACAACGCTTCTGTCTGAAGCCATGTTTTCACCTTTAACAACGCAGTAAATAATTGATTTGCACTAAACATAGTTTAATGTTAAATGTAATAACATAATTTAAAATTCTTACTTTTGATCCTACATCCAGTTGATTAGTTTCATCTAAAATTTCTTCTAAAGTCAGCGGATGATCATCACCATCTTGATGCCTTGCTTTCATGTGTTTTACTATTTTTGCTAAAACACCAAATTTGTACTGCGTACTACCGGTCATGGTTTTGTAGTTGACCATATCCAATTTTGGTCCAGTTGAAACCATGGATGGTTTTGGTTTCTTTTTATGTGGATCATCTCGAATGGTATCTTTCTCTTGTTCTTTCTTTTTCTTCTCAATACTATATAAATTATACATAAATTTACTTATTAATAAATTTGTAATTTTATTTTGTATATAATTAATTTGTATATAATTAATTTGTATATAATATACTTTTTATGTAATTTATTTCAATATTATATACCATTTATGTATAAGAAATAATTTCTATAAAGGGAATATTTAGAAAGGTAGAATATAGGTTAGAGAATAAAATATATTATTACACTTACGCTGGAGTAGATAAGGCTCGTTTTTTAAAGAGCTCTCGCTCTCTCAACAATGCTGGATCCATTTTATCAAGAATTTATCCTAAAGAATCCTTATCACATAAACAATTCACTTATTTTTAATAACACATGCACAAAATACTAACAGGAGAAGGAATGCACATAGTAATATTTAGTTTATGTAAAAGAATCAAGAGAGCGCTAGCGTAGCCCGAACTCTCGATACCAGACGTTCGATAGGTGCGTGCATAATATAACTCGAATAGTCGTTGGCGCCAAATATGTGATAATTAAACAATTGATTTTTTATTTATTTGCAAGTAAGAGAATATTCATCTAATTTCGTCCAATTAATTAACAATACTTTTCTAATGACTTTGTCTAAATCATATTATAAGCTTTATAAAATATTCACCTCTATAATTTGATATAATTATCTTATATATTATATTATTTTATTTATTTCTATTTGATCACGTGACATCTAAAATGCAAGACTCTAGTTGTTTAACCAATCATCGTTCTTTCCATTGCGTTCGTCCAGAAGATCATGAAAAAACTGTGGCGTCCTAATACTTTCAGGTAATTAATAAATATTTTCTTGCGTATATCCTTCTATTGTATATCAAACGATAGCTACGTTTAAGATTTTCACGCGTGAGTGTTTTCAAAGTGAAATATTAAAAAGTTCGAAAGATATCCGTGAAAATAAAATCTGTGTTCCTCTGTTTGCCGCCAAATCTGTCTGATTTTGTTACTTAACAATACTTTTTCAATTTTCCACGTTATTTTTACGATATCGATACTTACTACAATCTCTAATAATGCTTTAATGATGCTCTAATTAATCATTCTTTATCATTATGTCTTTATAGATCGTATTTTGTATTAAATCTGATTTTTGTCACATACACACATACACATACACATACGTGCATATATACATATGTATATGCATACAGTATGAGTAACTCCTACATATACGTATATATACTCTCATATTATTGATTTATTTTATATTGTAATAATGTAATCTTATTGTTTTACTCTTTTTTAGGTTTCTAAAAATTGGAAGAGTCAAGCATGAATAAGCATACCTAACTTTATTGTTATGCACACTTTTTTATCTTCAAATTCGTCGAGGTAAGCATTATTCTTTTTTTAAGTCTATCTGATATATATAAATGTTATAGAAAGAGTGAGAAAGAGAATGAGAGTGAGAGATAAAAAGAAAACAAAAAATTCACCTACAGGCAATTATGAATGTGTATGCATATTTGTAGGACTTCCTCGAGGTGATAACAGAAGAAAGACAGCCGAAACAAAACGTAAACAGCCGAACGTTCGACGAAGGATAAGCAGTAATGTATCTCATTTCCCTGCCGTCCTTCAACGAGTTAAGATCTAACGTGAACGCACGTGTAACGTATTAAACTATAATATTTAATAATTTTATTTCTAATGTGTTATCTAATTAAAACATTCGACAACTGCACTGATTAGACAACTTTTTATATCTAACATTGATTCTTTATGATAGAATATTTTGTGAAGTGTGTGAAATGCCTTCAGGAATGATTTACAGGGAATATTGTACTGTGTAATATAATCTTTAGTATGTTTCAGCTTTACAGATTGTTTTATTTTATTGTATTTTATTCATCGTCATCCTAAGGGTAGGAAACCCATCCTGCAGTCATCAATGAAGACTAAAAGTAAGTATATTTTTCTATCAAACATTTCTATGATAATTTCAATGGTTTTTTATTCAGATAATGATATTAATTGTTCTCTTTTTTTCTGTTTCAGAACATCATTGCAATCGAGCGCGTAGGCAATGAGGTACTCGTGTGTTGCATCGTTAAAATAAAATATTAAAAAATCGGAAATTAGAATCAGTGTTGTTCGCCGTATGAAGAAGTGTCGTTTTTTCGGGTAAAGAAACTCCGTATGTTTCTTATATTCGGTTTAAACGTGTGCTCAACGTCATCCTAAGGGTAGGAAACCCATCATGCATTCATCACTGAACATAAAAGGTAAATTAATTTTTATATTAAACATTTTCTCAATAATTGCAATAATGTTTTTTTATAACAATGGTGTATATAATCTTGTTTTTATTTCTGTTTCAGATCATCGTTGGAATAGTGCAGTGTGTTAACATTTTAATAATTAAATTCATTTGGAAATTCATTTAACACTAGATTTGTTCATTATTGCATTAAAATCAACATATATTTTAAAAAAATAATATTTAAGTTTTATATATATATGTAGCATATGTAGCTAAAAAATTTGAAATGAGTCAAATTGGCTTAGTTCATAAATCTTGTGTTAATTGAATTAACTGCATGTAATGCAGTTGTAGAGTCAGTGCATTGTCATCGTCATCCTAAGGGTAGGAGACCCATCGTGCATTCATCAATGAAGACTCATAGTAAGTATATTTTTGTATTAAACATTTTCTCAATTCTTTTAATATTTGTTTGTTATAAAAGCGATATTAATAGTTCTGTTTTTTTCTTCTGTTTCAGATGACTATTGCAAACGTGCGTGAAGCAATATACGGGGGTGTTGTTATATCGTTTAAATATAATTCAAATCATGGATCATAGAAGCACGTTCGTTCGTTAATTGCAATTCGTTCGTGTTACGCGATTGTATTAGAAATTTTTCATATTAAATTAACTGCGAACAAAGCAGTAATTGCATTAGAGTTTGTTCGATCAAAGTTGTATTTTTTATCTTTAAACAGTCGCGTATTAGAGTCAGTGCATCAATGAAGATTTTTGTACTTGCATTGACTGTGTGCAAAGCAGTCTTTGGAAGCAGTTGTAGAGTCAGTGATCGGGCGCATAATAAATTAAAATCATACGCGAATTAGAGTCAGTGTTGTTCGTCGCATAATCTAATTTCGGTTTCGCGATAAGAAACTCATCTATAGTTTCTTATTTTCGTTTATACCGCGTTATTAGATTCACGCGAGGTGCATCGCCATGGTGCAATTGAGCTGCATCCCATTGGAATGCATTGTAAGTATTCATTTTTATTAACATTTTATTCGATTTTATTTT